AGGAGGAGAAGAAGAAGAGAGCCGAGGAGGAGAGGGAGAGAGAGGGGACTGGCGAGGGGAGGGAGGAGAGAAGCCTCCGACTCCCGGTACCTCAGGCGGCTATGGCCGCCGGTAACCCAGTCGCCGCTGCTGCTGCTGCTCCGCTCGCTGCTGCTGCGCTAACGCTGCGCTGTCTGCTCCTCGCTCCTGCGCTAAACAGAGCGCTCCAACGGCACTCTGGTGCCGACCTTACYGCACYGTATCGTATACCRGTGGGTCGATGCCTYGAAGTGAGGCTGGACCGGTTCTTTATACCGGTGGGCAGAGGCTGGCCTCACTGCTGCGAGGCCTGGCCGTGCCCTGAACCGTCCAGATGGACGGTTCAGCCCCAACCGGCGGGCGGCAGCCTCAAGAGCGCCGCCAGGCCCAAACGGTACTGTCGTTTGGGCCTGCCCGTCGGGTCTGGTCCAAGGTGAGGCCTTTATGGCCTGTAGTACCCCAAGGTCGGGCCTTTAGGCCCTGGTGTGTCCCTCTAGCCCTAAGTCGGGTCCGGTAGGACCCGTGTGGCGTCAAAGATGTAACATTCCATCATCGTCTGGATTCGAACACGGGTCTGTATTTTCAACAGTCCATGGGTGTACCCACTGAGCTAGGCTGTTGGGTACAATGGTGGTATTTTGATGCACGTTCAGGTTGTGGACTTGGTTTCTTCAGGACTTGTGTGATATGTGTAATTCAAAACGAAAAAGAGACCGTGGCAGTGCTTCACGTAAAGGGCCACACAGAGTAGCGGGACCCGCCGAATCTTGGGCTCAAGGCCGGAACCAGTATGGTGGTGGATCACGTGGGGTTGAAGAATGACCGCAGTGGCGCTGTCAGAACATAGATGCAGGCACCCAGCGGTCCCGGCCCATGTGGCCGAATGATTCGCCCTTCGCCTTTCGCCTTTGAACTGTTGAAAAGTAGACCTATGTTTGATTTGTGATAAGGAAATCAAATAAGTAAAATAAGTTTAAATAACTTTAAATAACTCGGAAATAGCTGGCGGGGCAAGTTAGTTCGATGACACCCTTCAAACCCCCCAAAATAAAGTAATCTAGAAAAAAGATCAAACAAAAAAAGAACATAAGTGCACACTGCAGAACATCCCTGCACATCCCTGGTGGCTCTGTGAGTGGTACATGCGTGTAGCTGGTCGATAAACAGATCGCGAGTTCAAATCTTGTGACGGATGTATCTTCCCCCCCCCCCCGCCCCCCCCAAGAAAAAAGCCCTTCTATTATGGGGAGCAGCAGTCCGTTTCGCCTCCACCGGCGGGAAAACAAAAGCCCATACTCGCACACACTCTCCCCCCATTTAGGGAGGATACAACCATAGCCACTGCTGCTGCTCTCGCGGCACCACAGGTTTCCTATTCTACAAGTCACTCGCCCAATCAGCATCGATTGCTTCTCCATCTCCAGGGGCCGGATTAACTGTTAGCGTCTCTTCATTCTCAGGTATCCGACTTATCAGTTAGGGGGAGAGCGATCACTTCCCTGCACCACACAGCACCTTCTCCTACCATCACAGACAGGAACAAGAAGCAAAAAGGAAATGCTATGTTCCCAGCCGGGGTATATACCCGGGGGCTCGGCTGGTTGCTGAATGGACAGCGATAGGCGCCGCTGAGACCACACGAGGCGTGGAACTTACGCCTGGCAAAACCGTCGACAGTAGCCTTTTCTCGTTGGATCCGATCTATAAGCCATTGGGATCCCGAGGGTGACAATGACATCTAGTCCAACAGTGGCATTTTGTCCTCCGATCTGATACAAGTTTTTTTTTTTTTTTTTTTTTTTTTTTGGATCTGATAGAAGAGTTCAGTTACAAACGTAGGACACCATTTCAAAAGACTGCTGCCGCCATATAGACAGACCGTGGATGATAGTCACATCTAGCAACCAGACATGGGTTTTACAGTTTACTGATAGAGGAAGAAAGTACGTGGAGGCTGTGATGAAAGAAATTGCCACTCTCTCAACGAATTCTCTTGGCTGCGGTGTGAGGTTGTGTAGTATAGCAACTTGTAGCAAGCGTTTCGTTGTAGGTTTTAGACTTTCAGGCTTTTAGTACGCTTTCACAGCAAAAGGAAAGACGGAAAAAAAGAAAGAAAAAAAAAAAAAAAAAAAAAAAGGGAAAAGGAGGTGGTGCATCATAGGCTTTAACAAATCCGAATACCTGCACAGTTAATCCCCGATAACAGGGCAATCAATGGGCCTCGCTGCACTACTCTCGACATGCACAAAATACAAAAATCATGGCGGTGCATCTTTCCATATTCTAGCGGAAGATTCACTCTCCTTTTGCACATTTCGAGAGTATTGCAGTGAGGCCCAATGCTGGCAGGTTTTTGCTGTAAACGGACGCTGGACCCGTTTTCCAGCAGTTGTTGCTCCCCACCAATAGACTGGAGCATCCGGGATTCTCGCTAGGGGGGTTCTCTTATCACCTCTCCTAGCGAGGAGACCGGTCTTTCCAAAAAACAACCCAAAAAAATAAAAAATAAAATAAAATAAAGGCTGTGGGTAGACCAGATACCCTGCTTTGAGTTTCTTCATGCACCTATTCTGCTGGTATTTGGGTACGTGTATCACTGCATCTGTGTGCACCTGCTGGGTTCTGGGTACATGCATCTGTGTGCGTATACCTACCTACCCACGTACCACAACAACAACAACAACAGCAACAACAACAACAACAACAACAACAACAACAACAACAACAACAACAATAACAACAACAACAAGAGCAATAACAATGGCGATGGTATGGTGTGCTGTGCTGTGCAGGTTGCGCGATTGCGCGTGGAGAATGCTGCTCTTGTACGGCAAGCGAACGAGGTAGCGCGCCAGTTCCACGATCGCTCAAAAGAGAACCATCAGCTGAAAAGGGAGGTGGCTACGCTAAGGATGCAAATGGCTGAGATTCTGAGTGCTGTACAGATGCATGTCACAGCTGCTGCCGCCGCTGCTGCTGCTGCCAACAACAACAACAACAACACCATCAACGGACGGGATGTGTCAAACTCTTGGTCGTCTGGGTCGCAATCAGCAGAGATGATGATGGAAGAAGATATGAGCAGTGAGATTAAGCCTACACCAGCCGTTGCCGCCGCAGCCATTGTCCCCTCTAACGCCACCTCCGTGAATGCCGTGGCCACTAATGCTGCTGCTGCCGTTCTCAACGACATGAGACTAACGGATCCCCGTTCGAGTGAGGTATGAGTATCTGCGGTTTGCGATACTTCGTCGGTTGAATTGATTGATTAATTTGATTAATTGATTGCTGGGTGTTTGGTGCTGCTTTGATTGCATTCTTCTTGATGATGTATTTGATTGATTGGTTCATTGGTTTCATGAAGATTGAAGATCACTGAAGATCTGAGTCAGAGAGAGGTCCGTCAACGGATCAGCAATTGGTTGATCTCATGGATCGGACACATTGTTCATTGATTGATTGATTGATTGATCGATCGGTTGACTGATTGCTTGATTGCTTGATTGCTTGATTGCTTGATTTCTTGATTGCTTGACTGCTTGATTGGTCGATTGGTTGATTGATTGATCGATTGGGTAGATGGATGAGTGGATGGACGGATGGGTGAATGGGTGAATGGATGGATGGATGGATGGACGGATGGGTGAATGGATGGATGGATGGATGGATGGATGGATGGATGGATTGGTGAATGGATTGCTTGATTGGTCGATTGATTGATCGATTGATCGATTGGTTGATTGATTGATTGATTGATTGATCTGTTGATCTCTATTAAGGGGTAGATGGATGAGTGGATGGACGGATGGGTGAATGGATGGATGGATGGATGGATGGATGGATGGATGGATGCATATGATGGACAGCAATCCTGGACTGATCTGTGAGTAGTTTTGGGGATAGCAGTTTGGTTGGTAGGTGACATACAAGCACACAAATCGCCAGCGTCAGTTCAGCTAGAAGCGCACACTTAAACTGACAGAACAGTGGATGTATTCAGGGGGAAAGGATACTGACTGCAATTGTATCCAGATTCAGACACTGTATGCTCTGGAAAGGGTCCTGAGAACAACTGTGTTCAGATTCAGCCTCCCTGGCCCTGCTTTGGGGTAGCAGTTCGCCGGATAGGCCACACAAAAGCACACAATTTGCGTGGCCAGCACCAGGTCAGCAAGAAGCGCACACTCAAAACTGACAGAATAGTGGATGTATGGAGGGGAAAGGATGATGACTACAACTGCGTCCAGATTCAGCTCAGCCTCTGTATGCTGTGGAAGGGATCCTGGCCAGAACTGTGTCCAGCTTCAACCTCCTTGGCCCTGCTTGGATTTGAATACTATCAATGGTACCATTGAGCCTGTCCAGTTGCTTATTTATGCCACTTTCATGCACATTGCACATTAATTAATTAATTTATTAATTAATAACGTCCATAACTTAATTAATTAATTAATTAATTAATTAATTAATTAATTAATTAATTAATATGCCTGGCAATCGGCATCTGCAGCATTGCCTGAGTTCCTGGAGTGTGTTGAGGATCCTCTGGTAGATTGCCTCTGTTTGGGCATACATCATGTCCAAATCCATGCATTCCACCATCCATCATCCTATCTAAGGGTCCATACATTTAGGCCATCATGTCAAAATCCGTGTCATAAATTATGTTGTCGTCAACAGTTTTGGTTCAGCACATTGTCACATCATCATCGTTAAGCCCGCCTCTCTCATAATCATGGTTGATTGTACAGTCCAGATCGAAGTTCATCGAACTAGATATTCAATATATTATTATAGATTAGACTCGTTAATTTCGAATCTCTAGACTAAATGTAGGTCTGCAGATCGGCTCGTTCAGTTTTCTCTTGAGACAGCCGTATGGCAGTCTTGTCATGGGTAGACCTTCCAACTAAGAAACAGTACGAAGAGATCGAGAGATCAAATCCAACTTACGGGAAAGGATCAACGTCAACGGTTCGCCAATCGAATGATGAAAAATATCGCTCTTACAGGGGGCTATATTGATGAGGAGACTAATATGATAATATCCATCTTGCGATCACAAAGAAAACACTTCATGATAGTAAAAAAATGCTCACAAAAAAAAAAAAAGAAAAAAAAAAGAAGTAAGATAAGAGATTTGTCTTACATAATGTTTACATTGTTCAAAGCAGGATTCAATCTTTCGATCAATGGAAGACGGAAGACGGAAGACAGAAAGAAGGAAGATGGAAGACGGACCTTTCTCGAGCATGAGAGATGGTGAGAACGATCTGCGTTGCAATCTCTGCAGCATCGTCTGTTCTATCATTTTTCAGTTTTTTTTCCTCGTGAAGTGAACTGTGGTTCATCTTTGAGAGTGTGATCTGCCAGTTTTTTTTTTTTTTTTTTTTTTTTGGTCTGGACTCTGGAGAATGAGAACACCGACGGAACGTGAGCGTGTGCTCACTCACGCGGCCTCGTTCTTTCCGAAATAGCGGAATGCATGTGTTACATGATGGACGTTATATTATACTATCATGAATGTACGTTGCCTGAGACCTGCCTTCGCTACTTTGATTCTTGTGCATGCCTTGTGTGCACTCTCTACTTGGGGAAGGACCGTAAGCCTCTGCCGTAATGTGGACGTAACCTACCCCATTGCCATTCCACTGTGTCAGTTTGCACTCGCAGGTTCGACTTTCTGGATGTGTAGGTTCAGTTGCACCCAGACCCAAATCTAGCAGTTCGCCGTACGACAGTTTGGGGGGGAAGAGCAGAGCATTTTGACAGGACAGTACCGTATTCTGGGAACAAGTGCCGATGCATTGCCGACAGGGACTGCATGAAACTGCCAAGCCTGAAACGTCAGAACTAGAGGTCCAGGTTCGGCGTTCCTTATCTGTAGGTTCAGGTGCATCCACACCAATCGTACGGTCGCGGTTCAAGGGTCTGGGGAGTGAGAACAGGGTACGTAACCGTACTCCGGGCCCAAGTGCTGCTGCATTGCCGCCCGGGACTGAACGGCAGGGACTGCATGACACTGCCAAGCCTGAAACGTCGGAACTAGCGGTCCAGGTTCGGCGTTCCTTATCTGTAGGTTCAGGTGCGTCCAGACCAATTGTACGGTCACGATTCAAAGGTCTGGGGAGTGAGAACAGGGCATTTTTACAGCAGGGTACGTACCCGTACTCCGGGCCCAAGTGCTGCTGCATTGCCGCCCGGGACTGAACGGCAGGGACTGCATGACACTGCCAAGCCTGAAACGTTGGAACTAGCAGTCCAGGTTCGGCATTCCTTATCTGTAGGTTCAGGTGCATCCAGACCGATTGTACGGTCGCGGTTCAAGGGTCTGGGGAGTGAGAACAGGGCATTTTTACAGGAGAGTACCTACCCGTACTCCGGGCCCAAGTGCTGCGGCATTGCCGCCCGGGACTGAACGGCACTGCCAAGCCTGAAGCTTCAGAACAAGAGGTACCCGGTTCGCCATTCCGAATCTGTTGGTCCAGACCGTCCAGTTGCATCCACACCGAATATGCCATTAGCGGTTCAAGGATTTTAAGGAATGAGAGCAGAGCATTTTGACAGGAAGGTACGGTACTCCAGGGGGCCAAGTGCCGCTCCATTGCCGACAGGGACCGAACGGGACTGCCAAGCTGGAAACTCCGGAACTAGGAAGATCGGCACGCTTTCAAATCGGTCAGTCAATCATGAAGTGCTTTGAAGTTTGAAGGAGGTTGGCAGGTTGCAACTATATATAGACTATAATAATTATGCAGTTCGCAGACCGAGCAGATTAATTTTAAGTTTTTAACTTACCATTTGGATGGGCTATGTATCTGGTCTGACTCTGGGCAATGGGGGGGTTGACCGAGCATATGGCGATATGGCCATGACTGCTTGGCTGCATTACTGGTCGCTGCAGAAGCTGGCAGGATGTCTTATATGAGTGGATGGCCGTGCATTCGCCCACCCCTCCCCCTCCCCTTCCCCCCCCCCACCGGGTTTGGCGGCTGCCAGACACCGTTCGCTTTAAGGCAGATAAGGTGAAGCTGTGGTGGACGCACTGGAAAGGGGTTTCTCGTCATTCTGATGGATATCTAGTGCTTCGTTGTGGGGAGGTCGGCAAGGTAGGTAGGCTGACCTGCTTACTCTCCACTCGCTGCCCC